CATTTTAGAGATATCTTGGGATATATTGAAAGATCAATGTGACTTAAGGGAAGAAAAAGAAGCATAATGTAATGTTTTAATGATTATTATATCTTTAGTTTTGGTTAATGAAGAGGGCAGATTTTGGATCTTGGAAGAAAGTTTATTATGATTAATTTGAGTCATTTATTATAGCAATATTTCAAGACATTATTTAAGACAAGTGTATCCACTTATTTGAAAAGTTTGAAAGCAAAAACTAATCAAGTCAAGGAGAATCGAAGTGCCAAAGCAAAGGAGGTTCAGCAAGATTGCAAATCAAACACAACAACTTTGAAGGTCATAATTTGATGTTTATGACAACTATGGTTATAAAATTAAGATTTTAGTTTTATTATTAAGTTAAAAATCTATTTACTAAGTTTCAAGGCATTGTGACATTTGGTTGAAGTGATATGCATAAAAGAATAAGCAAGGATAGGATTGTGTGGACAAAATAATGACCAAAAAGTTAGATTAGGTAATTTGCTTGCTAAAAACGATTTAAGTCATTAATTACTTTGAAATTCGGAATTTAAAGAGAAGATGGGATATATAATCTATTGCAAAAGGTTTTAAATCATTCTATTGAATTAAAATTGAGTTATATAAGTCTAAAGTGATATAGGGCCAAAAGAAATTATAGAATCTAACTAAGACATATATAAACAACAATGACCTCCATAGCAAGAAGCATTATTTTTTATTTTCAAAGCAAGCACCATAAATTCAAAATATTATTCAATAATTTAATAGTAAAAAAATTACTCTCTTCTTTACTATTTTTTCTTTACATAGATAATTCTATTGCTTCAAAAATATATAATTTTTTGTTCAAGATTAATTTTTAATTTTTAATATTACTTCTACTATCTATTTTTAAAAAAATTAATACTATATGGAAAATTAAATCACATTAAAATTTTAATTTTTTAAATATTTCTATTAAATTTTCCGTATTACATGCAACGCACGATATTAAAGGTAAAAAAATCCTCTAACTTCTTTTCTTTGGTAGTAAATACTAACAAAAAAATTTGATTTTTAAATCCAATTTTTTATTTAGATGTGGAATTCAACAAGACCTTGTCTTTGATCCTTATATCCAATGATGCCATATAAAATAATCAAATATCTTTGATCACTTTGCACCATGAAGTTTTTCTTACAACAAAAGAAAACAAAAAAAAACTCTTACTCATGCAAAGATAGTGCGTAAGACTACAACAGTAGTTGCCAAGTACTAGTTATGAACCTTTTATTTTATTTTATGATTTCTACAATTTAAAAAAATGATAAAAGAAAAAATATGCATATATATAAGAAAAATTAAATACCAACAATAAAACATGCATGTTGTACTCAACCATGAAACCAACACATATCCTCTGCACACTTTTATAGTGAGAATAAGACAACCACTTTTAGTGGGTCCTTGGAGCATCTTGTGAACATCCACATGTTACTTCTTTTTTGGATGTATATATATATATATATATATATATAATCATTATTATTCCATTCTGGATTATTTACTCACTCATCTTTTCACGTTTGCTTCCCCAGTAGCGGTTGTCGAAGGAAGCAGATGCACAAGTCAGAAATTTTTACAGAACACCTCAAACAGTGTAAAAATGAGACGTATGAAACAATCAGAAAATGCAACTTTCTTGTAGAGTGGGTTTTAGAAGAGGTCATTGTCAGAACCACACATCCATTGATCACTTTGGGAGCTTTCATATTACTGAGTGTCAAAGTAGGAAAACAGATTGTAACATTCCTGTATCTAAAAAAACATATGTGATTTAATTTCCTTTGGCCTTCAAAGACACCTCCTTTAGGCGCACACCGTATCGTTCTAGAATCAAGAGAATGAGTATCCAACGTATCTACTTCCGCCTCTGTTGCTAACAGAATTGCGAGCTATGGATTGAACGCGGTAAATGATGCAATGAGATTGAGATGAACCTCCGGCGATGGAGTGGGGCGAGTTGCGAAGTGAGATGCACGGCATGGACGAGGGAGTAAACAGCGTTGAAAAGGGGAGCGCAGCGCAGGAAGCGTGGGATCCACGACACGGGCGGTGCGAGAGAATACCGCCACTTTCTGACTTTCCATCACCTTCATCATCAGCCCTACCTTAGCCTGCCCTCCTCGGGGACTCTGTGCCCAGATTCTGTGTCTCAACTTTAGCTTCTCAGCTCGAATTAGGTTGTGTCTCAGTTCTGCTCTTGGATCGTTGCGAGGTCTCGGGAACCCACTACTTGCCTTCTTCTTCCCAGGTATGTAGAAATTTCGAATTGATGTGTTTTCGATTGGATTCTTTTGGGTTGTCGTTTTTCGGCAAGTGTTTCCATGCGGTTGCTTGCGGTCTAGTTGTGGATTACGAGTTGATTAGCAATCTAAGACTCAGAGGAGTTGCGTTAGTATTTTGTGTTTATTTTCGTGTCGTAGCTCTTGTCATCGTTTGTTTGTTTCTTTGTGAGCGGTAACTGTGGGCATTGAGATCGTGTCTTACAGCAGAAGATGTTGAAGAAGTTCTTGTAGAATGTCTAGGGTGTGTTCAAGATGTATCTGTTATTTGAGAGGATTCTTGATGAGGATAGTAAATGTTGGAGGCAACTAGCTAAGCAAAGGTTGTGTAACTTATCTTGTACTCAATTTAAACCTACTTGTCACGAACATCGCTCAGATTCTTGGTTGGCTACTTGTTGGTTGCGGAATTCTGTTGTCTGAGCATTTTTGGAGTCATTTGCAGATTGGAGGGAGCTAGGGTGCCGTGGACTTATTTTCAGAGTTGGTGTTGGCTAGTTTCTGGATAAAAAACGTGAGCAATCAATATGTGTCTACCGTGCTTCTGGTGCAGCGACGACGACTATGACTACAGGAGACCTAGATACAACCCCTATCCACCCTCGTCACAACCATTCTTTCCACCCCCACCGCCTCACCACCATCACCCGCTCTCTTCACAACCATTCTTTCCACCCCCACCACCCCACCACCATCACCCACCCTCGCCACCGCCTATGTTTCCACCTCTGATGCCTGAAGCTCCTGATCATCACCACGGCCACCACCATCACCCTCACCACCACGACCAATCTCACCACCACCACCACATGCCTCCGCCAGAACATCACGGAGGTCACCATGGCCATCACCATGGCCATCACCACTGACCAGCCTAAGCATCAGAGGTGCACTGCTCCATTCCCTCATCAGAATCTCGTCCGTATTTATCATCTGTTGGATTGTGCTATAATTTCGCAACTGCATGTTCAGATTATCGACTTTCTGAATCATCTGTCGGTATCAATCGCACGCGCTCTGAAAAAAAAGATCTGCGTATGTTTCTCAGCTAATTCAATAAAGTACATGACTTAAATTGAATACTGTATGCAATTCGTAAGAGGAGTAACCTCTCTACATGTCGTAATGAAAGGCTATTTTTTTTCTTCCTTACTCTTGCTCTTGCTTGAATGTTTGAGTTATTTGCAATGGCATTTCTAAAAACAAAATTGTTTGAGAATGGTTTATGCTCAAGTGAGATGTTTGCCTCATTCGCAACCAATGTGTAACGTGTGTGAGTCTATATTACATGTGTGAGTTATATGTTCTGGTACAGCGCGCTCTTAACCCTGCAGGACTACAGTGCAATCTCCAATTCTTTGAAAGGAAATGTACCCAGCTGATCCGCAGTTTTCGTCAGCTTCGTTTGTAAGAATGTCTCCAAAAATTAATGTGTTTACCAACCTCCCTCATATTCTCGGGCCCACCGCTTAAGTGTTTGTCAATCTTCGTGAAGATGCAGCGGTGTGATACTTGAGAGCATTCTTTTGAAGTTTGCCGTAGTGGGTCCGTCTTTGCTCAATCCTGGATTGCTCAACAAGAGACAGAAACCTGCATTTTCCTCCATGATCAGTGTTGCTGTCGGTGCAAAATTAGACCCTAGATCATTGCGGTTAGAGTAAACACCACCTTCGTGGTTATTTTCAACCAGCTTCTTTACTCTCTCAACTTCGCTATAGTATTTACTTGTAAAGTTACCCCTTCACAAACTACACCTACAGCCTACTAGGTGACATTCTCAAATGCTGAAACTTCGGCGCACCATGTACGAGGCTCAGAATAAGATAGGCATTGATGTCTGAAAGGTGCAGGTGTAGCACTGATGGGTTCCAGATGGATTCGTACTTTGCCAGCTGAATTGAAAGCTCGCACGTCCATGATTTGTCCCTGCAGTGTACGACTATGTCTGTTAGAAAATAAGTTCTTACTCCCATTTTGTTTCTTCTTCTGTTTCCACACACGCATTCAAGCGGAGCATCATTTTTTAACACTGTAGAGCGTACACCAAACCAGAAATGGACGGTGGTGCAAATGTAGTATATCATTAACTTAGCAACAAAGATTGTATCAAATTAATGGCTATTATACAGTCAAGTTAAACGCATGGTTATACAGTATATTAATAGAAAGTTATACACTTGCTTTTGTAGAATGATTCCTGGCTCAATTCTTCGACCCCAAGTTTATCATTATTCTAAACCCCGATCACATCAAAAAGGTCTGAAATGCTCCACTGTTCCACCTTCAGAAAGTTATATAAAAATCTTGCGTGAGAATCATTTTTGAAGGTTTCAAAAAAGGTGTGAGATACTGTACATTTTGATATATTTATTTATTTGTTTTACTTTATGATATTTCACAAACGTAGGGTCACTCTACGCCAGTTGCATTTGCAGTGCTGAGTCCGAGAGATAAGGCAGTCTGCAAAGGATATGATGCCCCCAACATGCCACTCAATTCGTGGCAGGACCCCAATTACAAGAACGTGCCATCAACCAAACGCCAGACCTGCCCCTACCTCCGTCTGTCTCGGGCACCGGTACCCGCATGCGGGAGGGCCTGGCACCTAAACCCGCTCCTTCTTGGTTTCAGAAGAAGCACTGCCCCGCTTCGGTGAATCTTGCTTCCCCTCTTCGATCGTGGATGTCGCGATTGAATCGCGGCGCTGCTCACACCTCCGAGCTGCGCGGTAAGAGATCATTACCTCTCCCACCCATTAGCCGTACATCTCATATAAATCCATCGCGAAGGTGGGGTGCGGGGAGGAGCTGTACTTTCTTAGATTGGGTGGAGACGGGCCGACCTCCGCGCTGCAGGTCTTGCTCATTCTCTGCTTTTGCATTCAATACCCACTTGCCGGTAGCGTATGTTTATACTGCTTACGCGTAGCTCTTTACAGATCTCATGGTGTATTGCGGGATGGTCCCCTTTGTGTATCCGAGTCATTAGATTTTGGGCTTGTGACTGTCGTGTGTCGCTTGCTGCGGTACGGACTTGCTGCTGTGGGTTTGTCGTTGGTATAATTGGGAGTTGGGTTTTGTTTGGGAGAAATGTTGAGGCAGAGGTGCATCGAAGGGGATGAGGGTTGTGTGTTTCAGTCTTTGTTCGGAATTTGGATTGCTGATTCGCACCCTTGTGCATGAGTTGGTTAACACGAGGTTGTGTAATTAGTGAGGTCGTGTAACTCTCATCTTAAGTTTGTGCTGCCGCAGCGCTTTTGTCTTCTTGGACATGCGGCGGACTTATTTGGCGAGTGGTCGTGTTGTTTGTGGGTGGTGCAGTCACATGTGTGACAGTTGGGGTGAAGGTGGGTTCCTCAGAAGGAGGTGTGCTTGAAGGGGAAAGGTGCAGTTCCTGTTGAGATGGTTGTGCGAGCTGGAGCTTGCACTCAAGTACATTAAGTTGCAATAGAGAGCAAGGAGAGTGCAGCCGAGAAGGTATACCACATTCCCGATCATATTGCATGACTCTTTCGAGGGAGAGTAGTCAGAAAATGTCTGGGGCATACATTGTTTCTTGCTTTGCTAGAGAGGTTGTAGTATCAAAAGCGTTTCTGATTTTCACTCCCTCTCCTCGGAGCTATTCCATCCCTTCGCAAGGATAATCGTTCACTGGTCTGTCAGCAATGGATAATCTGAAACATCCTAGTCTGAACAGTCCTAACTCCCCCTGGATGCCTCAATTCGAAAACATATTGAGGCATCAAGTTCTCAGTTCGAGATGAATTATTCCGAGACAAGTCTAGGGTTACAGTAATATCAAGAAATGAGATGTTCCTGGCATGCAGTTTTCTTTTCCTGGCTGTGCATCTTGCCAGTCTCTTTGGCCACAGGCATTACTGATTGCTTTTAGATTTATTAGCTGCTTTATATCCTAGTATCATAGTTTTGAGACGATCTACGTAAAATGTAGATATTCCAGATGTAGGTAATTGTCGTGATTGTATTTAACTGGCCTGTTAATTATAGGTTTTTGACAACATATAAACATGTGAGTACATCTAGCCTTGGTTCACAGCAGCGCTTGACAAATGTAGTGGGAGTATATTGGTTAATTTTGCATTCGTGAAGCAATGTAGTATTTGAAGTGATCATTTTGAAGTGATCATTCTGAAGTGATTTGAAGTGATCATTTCAACAGTGATATTAGGATCCAGGCTGGACTTTGGATTGAACCGTATGTCTCAAAAGATGAGATTCTTTGGACCTAAGGTAATCCATATCTACAAACTCACTTGTTTAACATCTGTCCTGTAATCTTCTTGTAAAATATTGCGAGTCTCGAGTGTTTAGATTCTACCAGCAATCTTTATTCCATCTTGTTTAGTCATGGACTAATTCACTTTATACCAATCACAGATTACCATAAATTTTCTGCTAATTTCTCAAAGATGCAAACTTTCATTCAGTGAGACATAAGGTCTAATGGAAAAGAAACTGATGTTTGAGACTTATAACTATTATGATAAGACTGTAATTACAACTTGGAAACAGTAAAATCCCTTTTTGACAGCAGTTAATCTCACACGCAGGTCCATGATCCTTCCCTAGCCGCAAAGGTAGAATGTATTCCCTTCCGTTTGCTTCTTCGTATGTAAATGAATTCTGATAAAACTGCTTTGATGATACTGATATTTATAATACCGACAGAGTTGAGTAAGTTTCGCTGTGCCTAGGAAACCATTTTCTTAGAATGACGTGATGGCTGCCTCAGGATGCAATGTTCAAGCTGGCTCGTGAGCAGCACCGACGAGATGTTTGCAATGCTCGACTGCAGGTACCAGATAAAGTATGCCCATTTCAAGAAATTTGGATCTTTAATAAAATTCGATGAAGGAAATAGCAGGCCAGACGTGTTTTGGTTTGCACTTCATCCTTTCATCCAACGAAGGAAAGCTGCGGTGAATTGAATGTTTCTGTAAACGAATCTAATTTCTAAGAAAACCGAAGAGCCAGTGGACTGTATAGGTCTGTAATGTGCAGCTTTGTCTAGCCAAGTTCGCTCATTGGTATCTTGGTGAAACATTGGTAGCCTTTGTTAACTACCAGTTCTTTTTATCAATACTTTGCCTTCAGCATGTGTGTAGAAGCATGTTTTTAGGCTCGCAAGGTAGCCGAGTCGGGAACTAACCTATGGCTTCAAAATTTTCAGGATTTAGAGAAAGAACTGCAGATGTTCTCCGAAGAATTTGGCAGCCGATTACACGACTTACGGTTTGTTGCAATCCTCTTCTGCTGAGTTCTTTTGCCAAACATCAGCTACTTCAGTAGCATTTGCCACACGCTTTACTGTCTCCTCAATAGGTAAATCCATTTCTCTTGAGGTACATTTGTAAACCATAAGTCACCTTACAAACTTCGATGTGCATGCAGCATTTCTATGAAGGAGGTTTTTCATGCTGCGCCCGAAATGAAAACTTTCAGTGGTAGTCCCGACGAAGCAAAATCAGAGGGACTAGATTCCAACAGTCATGACCTCGAGTGAGATCTACTGAAGAATATATATGCCACACTAATCCCCTACTTGAGCCCATCTTTACATGCCCGTCTAACGTTACAAAATATGAGGCGAGTTGCATTGGGATCTCGTACTTCTCCTCATGCGTTACTTGTTGCGCGAGGATTTCTTGCTGTAAGATAGACTAATTAGAATAAGAGGTGACATACTCCTAATCTGCATTGACTCTACTTGTGGTCTAAATCAACCACTATTTAATGAGATTTTCACTGCATTCGTCAACCTTGAACTTTTCTAAAAAGAGTCGATAGCTCTGGTATTAAACACAGAGCTATGGACGAGTCAGTGACACTAACACAACGTAACATACTAGTAATAGGGTAGGAAATTCTTAAATTAGAAAAACTTGAACTCTGCAAGGTGTGCATTATTCATCCGTGAGCATACGATTATCAACCTATACAGCTGGAAATCACAAGCGTGTTACTCAGATACCTTGGCGGCACGACAAGCCCTTGAAATTTTTGAATTAATAAGTCAATTAGAATCTCTTAAATAACTGATAACAACCAATCGTGCCTTACCATGTCATTGAAGCTGAATCCCACCATCCACTCCTCGTGCAACTTTAATAAACACATCTTCCAATGTTGTGTCGGAGAGACCCCACGCTTGAATGTGCAAGCGATTCTTAGCTTCTTCAATACCAGAGAACACTGTCGCTACTGTTACTTCCGTTTTTGGTAACTCGAACTTTTGTGTGCCTGACAGGCCGTAGATTTTGTTTGCATTAGGTGAGAGCGACTTTGCCAACGCAATCACCTCAGATTCCTCTTCCTGAGGTGTCGTGATGGTCAGCACATACAGACCTCCATATCTGGCAGTAAGCTGTACAGTTAACAATTCCCATTTTCTGTGAGTTACAGGTGGTAGATAAGCCACTTTGGCATTAGCCGAAGACAAAATTCATATCCTTAGACATTTCTCAGCAAATTTGAACGGCACAACAGATGATCACCTCTTTAGCATTGCCAATACATTGCAGCTCGCCGTTAACAAAGATTCCGAGACGGTCACACAAAGCTTCAGCCTCCTCCATAGAATGGGCTGCAGTCATGTGGAGTAGACGATTAATGTAAAGTACATCTCCCTACAGTTCAATACGTAATCGGTATATGGAATTAACAGAAGCTGACTGAAGTGCGGGATTGAAAAAAACGAGTTAGCCTACTTGTCAGGATTATTGCACGGTCTTGCTTGGACTGCTTCACCACGTTCCAGAGGTTGTAACGAGATGCTGGATCCAGGCCAGTGCTAGGCTCATCCATGTAGACCACCTGTAAGTTGCGTAGTATCAAAAGTACAACCCATACGTTAAAACTGAACTTGTTTAAAATGGGGGTCTTAGGAATTTGGAGGTGCTCTACCAGTGACTAGATTATGGTAGTGTTTCAAACGCCGTTACATCATTATATGCAGTAAATTTACAACAAGAAAGCAAGGTATTAATTCCGAAGTTGGCAGAGCAGATGCTTACCTGTGGGTTCCCAATGAGAGAGATGGCAACACTAAGCCTCCGCTTCATCCCACCAGAATACTTCCGACACTGCTTATCCCCTACTCCATTCTCGAACAGATTGACACTTCGTAGTGAACTTTCAACAGCCTGCACATGGCAAACCAGCAAATCCGCGTTGTTATCAACGCCTATTACACAGCATTCAGCAATCTCTGAATGCACAAACACTGCCCAATAACATTATACAAGATTGTGTATTGAGAGACTCACAAGCCATAAAATTCATTGGAAGTGCATTACAAGCTTTCAAAACAAGGACTAGCTGCACTCACATTGGTGAGTTCTGTCCCTTTCAAGTTCTTCAAGCGGCCGTAGAACAAAAGATGCTCCCGCCCAGTTAATTGTCCCCATAGCAAACTTCACAGGAAAAAAACGTGTATTGTAAGATGATGAACTTCCATTGATATTGAATTACCAACCGACTACATAATCATTGATTATCACTGAAATCCATAACTGCCACGGGGCCGAGAGGTAGGGGAGAAGAGACATACTCATGCTGAGGACAAACACCCATGCACGAGTAAATACGATCCATGTCTGTAACAATGTTCATCCCTTGTATGTAAGCAGTGCCAGCAGTTGGCTTCAAAAACCCAATCATCTGCAATCAGACATCAAATCACGTTGTTAACCTCCACAAACCAAATTAAATTGTGCTTTCATATCACTCATTCGCTGTACAATTATCCATTCAAAGTGGGATGTGTGATTGAAGACAGTTAACAGAAAAGTGAGGAGGGCACCATGTTGATGGAGCTCGTCTTGCCTGCGCCATTGGGCCCCAGAATTCCAAAGCATTCACCCCGCGGAACAGCCAAAGAAAACCCTCGCACAGCGTACTTGGGTGGGTTCCCATCTCGAGCAGGGTACACTCTCTTAAGATTGTCACATACTATTGGGTAATCCTTGCTGGGATTGGCAGCCAACTCCTCCGCCACTTCTTTCTGCCGCATGTGAAAGCAATTCAAGATTATAGTCGATGATCTTTCTGCGAAAGTAGAAATTAGCTTGAATGATCTACCAGCCAACAATCAAGAAACATCTAAACTATATGATTTAAATTCTATAAGACTAATGGGGGTAAGGGTTTTCTAAGGAAAATGATGAGCAGGGAAGATGCAACTAACCTCTCTAGCGACGTCTGACCGTTCGGTAACCTTTAACCCCACTGATCGTTTGTCTCCTTCGTCGATGTGCGTTAAAGATTTCGAGTTGGCAGAGAAGTTGCGAGACAATCTGCGGGAGCTTGTGTGGTTGGAGCTTGCGCTCATAGCGCCTTTGGCTTTGCTGCCTTTACGTTTGAACTTCAAGAAGAACAGGGGATGTTTGTTCAATCCACTTGCAGATGCCACCACTTGGTCCAAGTACAAGTTGAGTAGCATAAAAACAACCCACTCGATGAACAAGATAATCAGAACCGTTCGCAGTCCATTCTTTTCGTCATTAAGGTCGCTCCACTGCATTCCCTTCGAGTTCTGTGTCAAACCCATACATTAGCTACAAATCACAAACCACAACGCTTTTAGGCAGCGGTGACAACAATAAATGATCCTGTGGATCAAAAACAAACTTGTAAACTTGCTGGCTCGACTCTTACCATGTAGACTCCCCGAAAAGAATACTCGGCAAACTCATAGAGTCCACGATACGTTGCAAATGCAGGGATGATCTGCAATGCGGTAATGATCTTTCCTGCCAGAAGAAAAATGTAGAGAGATATGTGTCATCAATTCCGAAAGATATTGGATGATATGTTGATAAAGACTATCATAGCAGATGGACTGAACTCAAATGCAACCGTATTCAACACCGAAAAAGCAAGCCAATAAGAAATTGCCCAAGTATAACCAAACATTTACGAGCTACATAGTTAATGGAACTAGGATGCAGAAACTTACTGTCTGTGTTCAAGTCTACAACAAAATTCTGGAAGAAGAAAGCTCCTAATAATCCGGATCCAAATACGTACAAATAGCCGAAGGCTGTAATCGAATTGAGTAGATGAGCAACTCCACTTGGTCAGAGTTATGAATCTATAAATCGAACATCTTCCGATTACAAAATACGTGTGCCCACCTCAACTGAAAGACATTATGCTTGGTGTACAACAATGGAAGAGAACAATAATGAAATAAAATTAATCGTATTAAAACATCCACGATAAAAGGATCTGAACCAGATCACATCCTTGACACGTTCGCATAACAACACATGCCCAACATGGTAAACATGAGAGAATAAGGTCGATTGATGAGCTTACCTGTGGCCGTTCTAACATTCCGAAAGATATTGGACGCTATGAAGCCAAGCGAAATAATCATATTGATGTAGAGAAAGTAGAACAGAATTTGTAAGCTGTACGAATTCATTCTGAAGAATTTTAGCCCTACAAACCATAGAGACTTGGATTAATTTCCAGCAAGAAAAGATGCATTTGCGGCGCATTCGCAAGGACTAATGTATGCTAGTGGAAAATAATTGGGCATTGCATTGAGAAGATAAATGAGGCGATCAGAAGGAGAACAATGGCTTACCAATAATGGAGCCGAACACGATGAAGCAGATCATGTAAATACAGAATAGGACCAGATAATAGAAGTATGTGATAACCCAGTAAGCGCTATCGCCAAGTCCATGCATTTTCATCATCATGCGAAGATGATATTGCTTCTCGTACACAAGCGCGGTCAGAACCACCTGATGCACCAAGTTTACAAGGATTTATTATCGACCCAGACAACAAGGTCCAGTTCGGAGTACAAACTCGTCTATCAAGCAGAGATGCGGAATATGTCATCTGATTCAGAGATCCGATTCCCGAGAAAGGCATGCTTCAAAACAGAAATGAGGTCTTGAAGTAATAGCATGAATGGGAAACTTTGGTGGAAGCAGAAAACTGGTGATGCAATATATACTTACGGGAAACAGGAAACCCAAGATCCACATATAAAACAGAGGCCCGATGATTGATGAGAAGTCAAGGCGCAGCTGCGTGCCCACTTTTGGCATTTCTTTCACGAACAGTAATGGTAGTTCAACTGTTGGGCCCAACTTGAAACGCAAGAAGGCTTGTGCAGCCTAAAATTCCACAGCAGACAGAATAAGCCCAGCATTAGCGCACATGCCGTACAACTATGTATACACGTTCTATGTATCGCAAAGAAAAAGTAGAGAAGCAAAGCCTTTAACACAGAACTTGATAGTAAAATGCTTATACTTCAGAAATCAGAATCACAAGCCTGCACGGCAACGAAAACTCGACAGGAATCACTATATTGAAAAATTGGGAGAGAAACCGTTACCATGTTCAAGGAGCGAGTCACACGCATGAGAGACGGCGGGCCTCGAGACGTCCTGTTGGCAAAGGTTTCGTTATACCATATATTCACATCGAACCTCGCTGGGGTGGTGCGCCGGAAGTCGTAAGCTGCAACCACCACAGACACAACCCAAATACTCCCCTAAGCCTCAAGTACAGTAGAACGGTAGATGCTCATCAATTGCTGTCAGTTTCAACTGGTAATGGTCATACTCTACAGGGTTGATTTGCAAATTGCAAAAATATGACGACCAGGAGCTCCGAACATTCAACTAGACGAGATCAAAATAAATAGATGTTGCACCGCAAGGTTGCATTACCGGCTGGGACTTCGTTGACTTCTTTTCGTTCATTGCCCCCTCGGTAGCCTGCAAATAGCATGGAGTTCACCGAGGAAGCATTTTCGCGCCACAATGGCCTGGTTTCCAAGCATGCAAAATCTGCATCCACAATTTTCTTTCAGTGCGATGTTCTGAAGAATATGCTGAACATTTATAGCCGTTACTGACGCAGAAAGTCTCCTGAACTTCGCATGTACCCAAAGCGCTCTTAGGAAAATCGAATGACGGTAATTGATGATAACCTTTGCTGAGCTGAAATCCTCCGCCAACATTGACGGTGAAATTGAAGTTGTCCTTCGAGTTCGTACAATTGGGTCGAAGAATGTAGATAGGCCTCGGAGAGGTAAATGCCGACTCGAACAAAAGAGAGCCGATTGGAATGGTATCTGTACCCTGTTGACAATTCACGCCACGGCCACCATCGATGTTCGTGATCACATAAAGTACAACCACTACCTTCTTGAACCTCTCGACAAATCTTACACTAACAAAGATACCTCAAGATTTACGGTGCATAAAATCAAGTCTTACAGAACGCTCACCTCACTTAATTACGAGCATGAGAAGAAAAGGACCTAAAACATGACAACTGTTCTTATTCATGACAGATCATAAAATTCCCACATCCTAAATCCACACAGGATTACGGGAGATACGGCGAGTCCGCAAGAGTTCGAAGTTGAAATCGTACCGGTACAACACTGGAAAGAGAGTACGTCTGTGGATTGAGGAGGTCTAATGAACCAGTACCCAAAAGGTACCCCGCCAAGGCTGCAACATCCAAAAACATAGATGACACATCATAAGCACTTATGATCGACCACTTCCCCGCCCGAATTAAAGAACAGGGAAAACCTAGATTACCTCGAACTAGATAACAGCCCAATTCATTATGAACCAAACGAACAGAAACAAGCACTTACCATCGGCAGCGGTTTTGTTAGTCCCGGTGTAAGGAATTGTAGTAGCACAAGTATCGGCTGAACGACAAGAAGCATCCTGAGCCAAATCAGGATATTCTGTACTTCTAGTTGCACGGTACTGCGGACTTGGAACCTGCAAAATGGATGGCCACGGGTATGGTCTATCGATTCCACAAAACGGAGCTTCATCCGCATTAGAGAATTGTAGCCCACACTGCTTCGTTGTGCCGACCCCGTTCGAATTGGGCACGTCTTTGCAGCCGCACTTGAAGCGGTCGCCAATGAAGGAGTTGATGAGAAATTGCATCACTACAAGAAGAACGCACAGCACGATTGGGAAGGCCACCAGGCAGCAGTTTGTTTTCCAATTCCGTTTCTGCAAATTCACGGGTTGAATCAGAAAACTGCTTGCTTCACCGACAACATCCAGCAATACATCCCTTACTCGCATCAGGAGTCTACTCCCATCGCTTTCAGGCTCTTAATTTGAACTAGGTGAATCGAGACAATACTTTTCAAAGAACGGTTCACTTGACTAATTAAATAACTTTGAAATGCGTGGGTGTGTGTCTAATCAAAGCCCTCTCCACCAAAGACCATTCTAGATTCTAAGAGTGCGAGTTTGAACTCCGTCAATCGCAAATCGGTTTCCTCTCAGAAACCACTACCAGCAGTACCGTGATTTAACTCTAAGGTTGAATCTAGATCGCGACAACAATTTTCCTTCAGGGTATTATTACAAACACAAGTGAACCACCGCGGAAAAATCACCTGATACGTAAGATTCTTGCGGAACAGGGCATTTGCTTGAGCGGCATTGGAAGTGCGCCGCAGAGGCTCCTGGACTGGTCGACCCATCTCTGGGTCCCCAGTACCGCCACGGCTCTCAGCTGGAGGATTCATTCCCTGCCTTCAAAACAACCGAATCCTCCTCCAAAAAACTTTCACCGAAGGGATCGGCTACAGACAACGAAAACGTCGGACTGGACTAAGAACTCGATGCGGAGACAGGCGACCTCTCACGGTCCGAGCCAGTACAGAGCTCCGAGTTGAACCTCTGCTACGAACCAACTGACACATTCTCCGAACTGCGCAAGTGCGAAGCTGAGTCGCTGCACGCCTGCCCATGAAACACGACAACTTGCGCGACCGCTGTTTCGGCATGGTGCATCCCAGACGCGTCGACTTATCATCTTGCCCCATTCCGGGATGAGCGTTGCGGCACTTGCATCTCGGAGGCAGTGGGCCCCAGTGTGTCGAATCTCTCGCTTTGCTTCCCCTGCTCCCCTCGGGTACCACCATCACTCCTCCTCGCTGCCAGCTTCACAGCCACCGCGAGACAGCGATGGCGCCGCAACAAGCTCGGCCTCCACAATTAGTTGCAAGGGCGAGGGAGCTGGAAATCTTCTCTCTCACTCTCATGTTTTCAGTATGTATATATATATATATATGTATATATAGGTATATATGCATATGTATAATGAGGTTTTTACCACTTATTGTGCATCTGTTTTCTTACATGGTTGTGCTTTTTGCTAGTTTCATGTAAAGGTGGTCTTACGAACTTGAGTGCAAGTGTTTTTTTTTATTTGTTTTATTCTAGAACTGTACTCTTGGTAGTATATAGTTTTTGTTGTGCAGTCCTTTCAACTGATATAGGTTTGTTGTGGTAGTCATTGAAGTCTGATGTCATTATTTTGTCTTGCTGAATGTTTGACTATAGCAGTATATGCTAAATCTTTTGCGGGATATCGATTCCGAGATTTTGTAGGGTAATTAGAGTGGTTGATAGTTTGAAAGTAATTCAAAATACAGGTATAATTGTGAAAGGATGGTGGTTTGAGTTTGTCTGTTTACCAAGTATTGATTTTTATAGCATGATTATTATGATTTGTTGTTGACATTTTTGATAATGAATTTCTTTTCTTTTCTTTTCTGGACAATACAAGATGGGTATGGTATGTTAAAGCAAAGCCAAAAATAAATGGCCAAACTAAATCAAAATATTTCAGTAATATATTATTTCAGTGAAATGTTTATATAGATATATATAAATATATATATAAATATATATATAATTTGAAACCACTCAGATGTATTTCATTTTTACTTAAACCTCATTTAATTTTTCCTTTTTTAAAAGAAAACAATAATTACTAAGATCCAATTTGTAAATGGTTATGTTTCTAATGTTGAATTCAAATGTCACCATTCTGGAAAGGAATCTTAGATATTGATAGTAGTTACGACTACAGAAGAATTTTAAAACAACATTTACAATAATCTTACAAGTGTAGGTAGATACGGTCATTACTATGGATATTTTGGTATCTAACTGCTGAATATCTAAATAGAAAACAAAACAAAACAAAATAAAGTTTTCAATATCAATCTAAATTAAGTCCATAGGATGTATTTTTTTTTGTAATTTTAGGATTTACTTACACATCCTGTTAAGATTAGATAAAATTTTAATAATCACATGTTGACTTTAATGTTAGATAAGTCTTAAAATGTAACAATTAATAAGAATTTTTGTACCCGTGCTATTAAACAAGAGTTATATCCACAAATTAAAATAATACTAATTTGGAGTATACGATGCATGCGAAGGTTATATGCTCCTTTTGTCCATGCATTTGTAGGACTGTATAGTTAGCTCTGCACAGACAATCGACAGTTAAATTCACATCTTCAGCTGTCTACCTCCAATTTTTGCAGCGTTCAATCAATCAAGTCCATTGTCAATTTCAAAGACCCTCTTGCTCAGTGTAATGACGTCCTCTGACATGTCTCCATTTTGCTCTACTAATCAGGCTTTTTGTGAACGTCAATTCTATTTTTAATCGTGTTGCCTGGCTAACTAAAGTCATATTGATTCAAAGCAATTAGCATAATTTCTCGTTGTAGTTGTTTCAGGAACAACGTCGCAGGCTTTTAGATCTTGCAGGGACGTCGTAGTTGCTGGCTAAAGGTTTCCAGTTTGTACACTCACCAATGGCGTCTTCGATTTGCACATGTTGCTTCTGCTGTGTCCCTCAAATTGTTTCCTTGAGCGAGTCTTTCGTTGTCGACTACAGTTCTTCCCATGGACCAGCATTTGATGCTTCATTACAAATTCAAAAGGGAGGAAACCTTTAGGTCTTGGGCTTGGGCTTCTACTAGGCCCACGGGTACTTGTCATTACAGGTTCTCGCATTTGGTTAGTTGTTGCATTTGACTTTTCTGTTTTTGTCAGACTGGGAGTTTTTCGAGAGCTTTTCATGTCAAATGCAGTTCAAGTGGGCTGCTACAATCATCATGAGAGTATTGGCATTTCTTGATTCAGTATACAATATATGCTTTCACAAGCTCCCAGAAGCATAAAAACTACGTTGTTCGTCGTTTGTAACCTTTAAAAGTTTGCGTGAGTGACACTTTTGTTCTTCGTTTCATGTCAGATGATACAATGTGACCTGCAATTGTTGAAGGTTGCGCAATTTTGGACAGCTAGTAATCTCCATGGAAATGGTTCTACAGTTCTTGAGAAATTCGAGAGTGAATGATGTCTTCCCTCCCGCTCCATGTAGGGAGAAATTTCATGGTTATGACGAGGTTGGTGACTTTGCATCCGTCTTCACTTATCTGCGTCCTCCGAATAGCGTGATAGGGTTTCCATTCAAGCTTTTTTCAACCGCGCTGCTGTAGCATAACCCAGAGAGTAATGTACAATGATCCGACGAAGTAAAACCTCTTCCCTGCTCTCATACCTTGCAGGTCAACCTGCCGTTCTCTTCACCACGATTTCAAGTTGTTTGGTTGGGGGGTTTTTCGACCTCTCATTCATGTAGTATGGTTTCCTCTTCCTTTGCATATCGCCACTTCAGCCAGAATAAGCGACGGCTCTTGTCTTTTTGAGGAATTCGTTGCAGGTTGGATGTTATGCGGTGGCCGGAGGTAATTGGCTTCGTAATTAATTCTTTCAGTATCATGGGCTCCTTAAAAGTTAGCATCACGGGACCTCTGATTGAATTCTTTAGGGGTGGTGCGTTCGTTGAAGGTTTCAATGCAGGGGTTGATAGCCTAATTTGTTGATCCTGTTCATGTCACGGTTAGATCCACTTCTTTTTCTCGCACTCGTAATGGATACGGTAGATATGCAAAGTACTCCGTCTCCTGCTTCGTCTTAGATGTACAGTCTAAAGCTGTACATGAAGTCATTACACTTGCGCACCGAATTCCCGTATTGAAAAAGTTTAATTGACAATTTTACGGTTTTCGTGCACAAGTGTTTATTTTGAATGAACTGCTTCGAAGTTCAGAGATTGATTGCGGATGGACTCTTTTCGTGTGCTGGGTTTTTTTTATATGGTAGGAGAAATCACTTGCCTGATTCTTCCTCAAGCATTCTGCAGTGAACACCCATTTTCAGAATGTTGGGCAGTTTCCTTCGCAATCTTTACTGCCCCAAAGTTGCGATTTGACTGTTAGGACTTTTGTGTAGGGTTCTTACGGGGCTACTTCCTTTTCCAATCTTTTGCTTGCTTCCAGTGGCCAGTATTTCTCCACAACTGCCTTGATTGTAGAGTTCAATATCCTAATCTCAGGCTTAGGAAACTTGTGGAGCGTGGGAAAATACCTATGGTAAACTATGAAAGTATTGCATGTAACATTTAGTTGTCGTCATGTTGTTCTCATTAGATAGCCTTCAGTCTTGACGATTTCGTGTTCGTTTTACTAGATGTAAGGCAGCTTTCTGATAATAACGGTTACACTCGACGAAAACAAGAAATCTGCAAGGACCAGGTCGCGAGGAATAGCAGATGACTGAACGTTTTTCTCCTTCAATTGAGTTTTGGATCGGGGTTCTCCAGGTAGTTTTCGCCAGTCAAGATGCAGCTTATTACGTGGAGAAGAACGTCTTTGATATTCCATATAGCACGGTAATCTACTTCATGTTGCTTCAGCAGATTCTTTTCTTTCCTGAACTCTCTCTCTCTAACTTGATGTTCTTGATCTAACCTGATGTTCTTGTTCCAATATCAAATCATGTGACTACCTAATCAGGAATCGGAAAATTTGGAAGAATTATTTAGATTGAATTTCTGCTATCATCTTACAAGGTTTTGAAGTGTAGTTTAAATTCGTAAGGATGTCCGAGAATCGTTTACGGGATTTGAACTTATCGATGGCGTGTGGGTTTGGGGCTTACAGATTCGCGTCATGTGCTACTGAACTGCGAATCTTAGCGTTGTTATCTGAATGAATCTACTTGTCTTTTACTCTTGATAACCAGGTCGGGCGTCGCTTTGAGTCGAATGGTTTCTTGAAATCTGGCTTACTTGAAACATCTAGTTTTGTTAATTAGTCAGAGGATTTGAGTTAGACATAACACCTATACAAGTGACTTGGATTTGAACTCATTTCTGAGAGCCAGAGTTTTAGCAGCAGAAAGTGAGCATTTACCATTGTGACGAATTATTACCGAAAGTATTCAGAATTTTACAATCAGGCCGAGTTCAGCATTAAGTCCATTGTATGCTTCAGTACCACGTAGATTTTTAGAGTTTTAGGCATTTATAATGAGATGTCGGATTGGGGCCGGAGGCGAAGAAGCTGCACAATCTGCTCAGTCTGGACCAGCACAGGAAGTACAAGGTATCCTCTTTCGTATTTTTCTTTATACAATCAGTTTGCGTTTTCCAATGAACATCATTATTGTTTCAAGTGGAACATTTTTGGAGAGTGTTGTTTGCAACAATGTCATGTCCGGTACCTTCCACCCGCAGCGTAACTTTTCTCTAATTCAAGAACTGTAATCTTTTTCCGACAATTGGTTGAGAGAAGACCTGGGGAATGAATTGGTGGAATATCGTGCACAACTAATTATCATGGTTGAGTAGTAAAAGTTACATCGGGTCATGGTGTGGGAGAATGTGACAGGAGCAAGAACTAGGACTGGTAGACCGACTTTACCAGCTGCAGTTGGGCAGGTCAAGAGCAGCGCGACAGGAGCTACGGAGGATGAAACGGAGGTCTCAGAGGCTTCAAGATATCTCTTGAAGCAATGAGTCAGATCCTCACAGAAAAAGTTGAAGAGGTGCTCCATTTTCATGCGAGTATATTTTGTGTGCTTTTCACTTGATTTCCCTCCAACCCAATCCCTGTTGTATGATTGAAACTGCACCCGACACTTCTGCACAAGTTCCATGTTTGGAAGCTCACTTCTTTAAAATTAGTCTCCTTTGATACGCTGCTTCAGCAGGATCTTTGCCTCCTACACACATTTTTTTTGTAAGTATATGCTGTTGACCGAAAGAGAAGATCGAGTCAAGTACCTTCCTCTGGATACCTTAGGGGATACGGTAATTTTACATAAATGATCTCAGGAAATTATAACATTATGCCCTTATGTAATATGTTTGCCTGAGGTATGCAACGAGCTCAAATTTTTGGGGTACTTGCAGATGGAAAGAAAGCTTGCAGAGGTAACCAGAAGAGCACCGCTGAACGCAAAATCAAGGGGAAGTCGGGAATTGGTTTGAAAGATCGTGACAAAGATGGTGATACGCTCAACAAAAAGCACCAACAAATGCTAGTGTAACCAAACTGGATACAGCTCGAAGCATACGCATGGAAGAACTAAACAATCAGGTTAAAATTATCTGTTAACAGGTGCGTTTCAGCATTTCTACCATATCGCACTCAAAGTTTCTTTCTCACTCCACTTAACGGTTTAATCTATTTGCTGGTATGAATAGAGATGAAGTGCAAACATTTCCAATTGTGACGGAGGTTCTGGAAAAGTGATAGCTCCATGAAGACTTGTAATGAGCAATTGATGTGAGGATATGTTGGTATATTTTGCAGATATCTCAGCACAGATGGGCTTGGCCTTTTATGAAACCTGTGGATGTTAGAGGTCTAGGTTTGCATGATTACAACGATGTACGTGATATTAATTCTTACGATTCTCCGTGTTCTCACCTACGTCTCCCTGTTGAAATGGTTTGTCTCTTTCCTGAATAGTGTAATTAGCGATACCTTGGCAGTCAAGTCCTATCATTAGGCATATTCTTTGAACCAGAATGAAACAGTCACCAATCGCCTAACTGTCACAGAAAAATTGTCGGAACAATATTTACTTCAGGTGAGTTACGATTGCATTGAAGCTTGGGTGTATCACTGTATACGAATTTTCCATACATACATCAACGTTTCATTGCAAACATTTAACTGCGGTCAAAGCTGCATAGCTGACTATCTTATGCATCAGCAGGGCAATGTGGCAGTGACATACCATCCTAGATAATCTGGTTTTTAGTGCTGACTCCTTTGAAGTTTTTATGTCTGGAAGATGATATCGAGTTAAAAATACTTCAATCTACTGACAGTCAAACGTGATGCAAATCTAGTACTTCGCGTCCCTTATCGCCTCACAAAACTGTCATTTCGTGATTTCTGGTTTCTTATGTCTTGCAGTAGGTCTATGTCGATCGAGGAGAAAAGGCATTTGGGACAGAGCCTAGGGAAGTTGCCACCCGACAATCTGAGTCGCGTCATCCAAATTGTTTCTCAGAGAAACCCCTCGTTTAATATTCACTCTGACGAAATTGAAGTTGACATTGACGCCCAGGTTTTTCAAACGTTTCTCCCTCTGCATTCACCGCTCCAAGTAGTAAAAGCTTCCTCCACTAATTTATCAGGAACCTCAATGCCTAGTATGCATCTTTTAGTTGTCTAACATTAGTCTCATTTATGGTTGGGCAGGACCCAGCAACACTCTGGAGGCTGCAGCATTACGTCCAGGCAGTTCTAAGAGGCTTCGGAGCATGGCAGGCCACGCCAAGGTACCAGCCCAGCAAGCGTAGTGGAGGGTCTGTACAGAACTAAACCTCCAGCAAGCGTGGCAAGAAGGCCACCACGCATTAACATGGACATTTGCCTCATTCCAAGCATGCCAGCGCAATCCCAGCCTTCTTTCACTGGTGATACGTTTTTGGGTCTCCTCACTTGCAACATCAGAAAATTTTCTGAGAGTGCATCGAATTCTCTGGATTTACTTCCCTCTCAGCAGCGGGGACAGCGCATGTGTATATACATGTGTGTTGCTGGAGTTAGCGGATAGGCAGATCCGACACTGGGTTCACTCCCGAAGTGAAAAACTCGACGAGTTTGTATCAACGCTGACCAATGGTATGTTCCTTCCTTTTCCATCGATGAGAATATTGGTTGCCGAACACTCCCTTTTGTCATTGTCCCAAATGTATCCATCAAAAACCCAGACATAGTCCTTCAACTGAAATGAAGTTTTTCTTTACCGAGATTCCTGGTCATGTGTTTGTGAAATCGATTGAGTTCGATGTCCTCACTTTCTCTCTTTCTCATCTCAACCAACCAAACTAGCGACATTCCGTCAAAATCGGTTGAAAGATGGGTTTTTAATGAATGTGTGATCAGGTTAAAGGCTTGTGTATTCTCAACGTTGTTCTTCACAAAAATGGAAGGGGAGGGAAGCAGAGAGAATGACGTTGGAGATGCGGAAAATTGAGTCTCGCCAAGATAACAATTGTGAAAGAGTTGTCGAATTCAGCATTATTGATGTGGTTGTGACCAAATATTACAGTTGACACTGTTAAAAAATTTGCATAAAATTTGCATAATAATTTAATTAAAAATTGTAATTTTAACAAGATTTATTTGTACCAATCAATTCATTATTAAATCATTACATAGATATATTACTAAAGGATGTAAAAATAAATAAAAGCATCGCTTATTCATACGTATATACACTGAACCACTGAACCACACTGAACCACTGAACCACAAAAGTGAGTAATAATTTCATAAAGTAAAATTACTCTCATTAACCAAAAATAATTTTTAATTTTTATGAAATTTTCCATGACAAAGAAATGCAAATGACGGTATATTGAGAAGAATATTAAGATGTTCTGAAAAACTTCAATCTCTCATTAATATTATTATTATTTTAAATATAGTTTTTTGATAAATCTTAGATTTTTAGTTGCCTATCAAATTATTTTCATGTATCTTTATGAATTTCATAGTCTATATGAAAATAACTTTTAAAAAAATAAAATAATAATTACTCTTGTCAAAAGAGTTTGCTTTAAAGTAGCAATAAGTCATTGTTTTAAGGTATTAAGATTTATTTAGTATTATTATTATTATTTTTTTTTTTTGTAAACATGTAAATTGAATTCAATATGCATACACTTATTCATTTCTTTGTTATTTTTCAAGAGTTTATTTCTTAAGCAACTCCACAATTTTTCACACATTTTTTTGTAAAGTGACATGTATAAGATCATCTATTCAAAATTAATTTCATAGCTAAATATAAATTTACATATATTAAAACTCCATAAGGACAAATGGACATATTTCTATGAATAAATTTATTTGATTCCAAATAAAATTTACATAATAATTTAATTGAAAATCTAAATTGAACCAAAAAGTAAAAAGATTCAAAAAAGTGAATCAAAAATTAAAATTTCAATGCTTTGAGATTTCAAAGTCATAGTACGATTTTCACTCTAGTCAAAAATATATCTATTGTTTTAAAGAATAAATATCTCGTTTAATTATTTGTTTTTTTAAAAAAAATAATTATGAGGTTTTATTGTATAAAGCCAACTTGCATGATTTTTAGTTTATCATGGATATTTAAATTTTGGTGGCATACAAAAAAACAACGAGACAACCTTGTACAAAAATGTAATAATTATAATGATAAAGAAATTTATAACAAAAATTCTTGCTTTTATTATCTATATAAAAAAAAAAAACTCTTCATAAAATAAAAATACCTTGAAATCTCCACATGTAAAGGTGTCATGGACATACATATGTAAACCAATAATTATCTATATGATTAGATAAAAGTAGATTAATTCCATAATATCTTCTATACAAGCTACTTTGAAACTTCATAGACGTTGCTTTGACTTTATAAGTGTCTATAATTGACTTTTTAGGTTAGAAACATGATCAATAAGTTGGCCATGTGCCACACATGTTATTAGCTTGAAGAACAAGCTAACTTTGTGGCCCATACATAGAAAACTTGCCTTATAAGCTAAAGCATGTGTCATGCAAAGTCAACACATATTAGAGGTCCTATAGAACATCACCATATAGCTCCTAGTTAGATAGTATATATAGAAGTAAGAGTGAAGTCCTCTTCACTCTTGTCAATTCTTTTCTTCTTTCTAGTCTAAATTAAAAAGTCTTTAGTTTTTTTTGTCTTTTGGCAATAGCCATTCTAATTTCTTTTTAATATACATACTACATTATTGCTATTTTTTTATTTTTTTTTTAATACAAAATTTCCAAGTTTATACATTTTCTTCTAGTTCATATTTTTGACAAATTGATAAGGGTACACTTACAATATTAGAGCTTTGTCTTCTCTTGATTAAAAGAAGATTATTTTTTTTTTCTTGATAAAACATAAGCATATTAGAAGTTGTGGATTATCTTCTTCTAAACTAATATTGTTGTTAATATCTTCTTTGTTTTCAAGTCCTTTCTTTTGCTTCTCTTGAATAATATTAGACATTTATTTTATAAGTATCATCATGGCAAAGCTTATTGAAATGAAGAGTACAATAGTACAAATATAAGAGCAATTGAGGGAATTAATACTTTTGTTGCATCAACTTAGTTTACCACTATAAGGAACAACAAGAATGGCAGGAAGTGAAGATATAGATATGATTGGAGTTGCTTCAACATTTGTATGCAATCGTATCTCTTCTCCTATGGTGGAATATCCTTCTATTACTAAAAAATCAAGACTTACCTTGCTTAAGAAGTTTGATAGCATAAGATCCAAGTTTTGAAGATTCATCAATTAAGTATAACTTGTGATTAAACTTCAACTCTAAAGCTATCCAATTCCAAGATTGCAAGTTAGATTCATTGGTACATTTCTTTTAGATTCAGTATTATTGTGGTTTTCATCTTTTTCTTAAATGATAAGATTTAATATTGAATAATTTAGAAGATTTTTTAATGGAGTTTCGATCCATGTATGAAAAACATGATGCAACTTGTATTACAATTAACAAGATCCGTATTTTATGACAAGGCAATCGATATGTAACATTATTTGCTTCACAATTTTGACAACTTTCAACTGATATTAAGTAAGATGATGTTACACTAATTAGCCACTTTCTCTACGGATTACAATATGAGGTAAAGAAATTGATGCTCAACTTATCTAATCCTCAAACATTGAGTTAAGCAATTGACTTTGCTATGAAAGCTGACAATTGACTTTTTGAATTTCGATATGAAAGTCAAACAAGTGGGCCTCAATGTTATTATAATTCAATGACAAGACCAATACCTCTTGAACACATATATTCAGAAGTTGAGGATATGTAAATTGATGCAATACGTTTCAAATCTCTTACTAAGCAAGAAAAGACTTATCACCATCAAAAACAATTGTGCTTATATTGTAGAGAATCTAAATATATTGCTCAATAATGTCAAAAGAAGTGATGCAATTATAGTATGATGAGTACAAATGTCAAAGAAGACAATATATCAGATCAAGTTTGTCCAATTATAAAAGGTATCATGCGGCTAGAATCTTATACAATATCTAATAAAGGTCTTATTCTCTCTTTAGAACTATCTCTTTGTTTTACATTAAATATTATTTTAGGACCTATACATTACAAAGTCTTTGTCTTATTAGATTTAGGAATGTCAATGTGTTTTTTAGATGAAGAATTTGCTAAAAGTCTTAGCATATCTTTAGTAAGGAAAATTAAAGCTATACATGTAGAAGTCATAGATGGTCGTTTGTTGTCTTCTAGAGATATTACTTACAAAACCTTTTCTATAAAAGTAATAATCGATGGTCATAATAGCTTTGTTATATTTAATATTATTAGACCTTCTTCTAATCCAATAATTTATTGTGAGTAAAAAAATACAACCCTCAAGTAGATTGGATTTCTCATACTCTCAATTTTTCTAAAAATATAACTAAGAATATAATTAATGAAGTAAAAAATCACAAGTTTAAGTTAATTAAACCTATATTTGTAGGTGCAAGAGTTTTTTTGCATGTTGCAAAAGAAGGATCACCTTGTGTCATTTATGTGACATCCATTTCTAGTGGTGAAAGACTTCAAGTGGCATTCCAAGCCAATATCAAAAATTTCAAGATATATTTATAAAAACGAATATGGATACTCTTTCAAAACATTATTTCTATGACTATTCAATTGATCTTCAAAAAAAAACACAACTGCCATTTGGACCAATCTACAATTTATAATAAAATGAGTTGGTAGAATTCAAGGAGTATATTGAAGAGAATCTAGCCAAGAACTTCATATACCATTCCAAATCTCCAACAAGAGCCCCAATTCTATTTGTGAAGAAAAAAGATAGATCATTATGGATGTGTGTTTATTATCGAGGACTCAACAATATCACCATCAAGAACACATATCCACTACCTTTAATATTTGGACTTCTTGATCAATTGATTCAAGCTAAGATCTATACAAGATTAGATCTACAAAGAGCATACAATCTGATATGCAATAAAAAAGGAGATGAATAGAAGATTGTATTTCGAATTAGGTATTATATTTTGAATATAATATTATGCATTTTGGACTTACAAATGTACCAATAGCTTTTCAACATCTTATGAATGATTTTTTTTGATAGTTTTTGGACGATTTTTTGTATGTTATCTAGATGATATCTTAATCTATTTTAAAAATATAAAAGAACATGAATTTCATGTTTGTCATGTGTTACAAAAATTAAGAGATATAGGACTCTAGACTAAGATAGAAAAATGTATATTCTACTCTATTCAAGTTGACTTCTTAGATTATATTATTTCAAACAATGGACTCATGATGGATCTTAAGAAAGTTCAAACTATTATGGATTGGAAGATCCCAAAAACGGTTTAAGATGTCTAATATTTTTTGGAATTTGCTAATTACTATCAGATCTTCATTAAAGACTTCTCTTGAACTATAGCTCTATTTACATGTTTGACTTGTAAAGACAAACTTCAATGGAATCAGGAAGTGGAAGCAACATTTGAAGCTTTATAGACAACCTTTGTTTCTGCACCAATCTTGTATTACGTTGACTTTTTTAAGGTATTCTTTATGGAAATAGATCCATCAAACTTTGTTTTGGGTGCTGTATTATCACAAATGAGAATAGATGATAAACTTCACCTAGCAGCTTTTTATTCCAGGAAATTTTTAGCAACTAAGATTAACTATGAGATTTATAACAAAGAACTTCTTGCAATTATGGATTCTTTCCAAGAATAGCCTCATTATTTAGAAGGCGCTTCCAGTTTAGTCACCGTGTATACGGATCACAAGAACCTTAAGTATTTCTTATCAACTTGTGTTTTGAATTGTTGCTAAGCTCGTTGGAGCATGTCTTTGTCAAGATTTGAGTTCAATATTACTTATCGGCTATGAAAACAATAAGGTTTGTCTAATGTCCTTTTCAAATGTTTTTAACTTGCATCTAAAGAAAAAGATACAACTATTGATCAATAAAGGATAATTTTATTAAAGCCAAAATAATTTCATCTTCAAATAGTAAAATCAATATTAACTATTGATTCAATTTTTCTCAAACAAATTCAATCAAGTATGTCTTCTGATTCTCTTGTTCATGATATCAAAAATACTTCTTCTAAGTCTTGTAATACTTCAAAGTTCGAGTTCAAGAATAACCTATATTATTTTGAAGGACGCTTATATGTGCAAGAAGGAGAAGCATGTTTATATGTTCTTCAAGCACATCATGACCTTTCAACAGTATGATATTTTAGATACAACAAGACTTTAGAGCTGATATCCAGAGATTTTTGGTGGCTCTAAATGTAGAAGGCTATAAAAGATTTTGTTCAATCATGTGACATTTGTTCAAGGTCAAAAACTCCTTGGCATCAACATTGTGGACTTCTTTAGCCATTATCTATTTCAAAACAACTATGGTCGTCTATTTCTATGGATTTTATTATAGATCTTTTAGTCTTAGGATTGTGTGATTCTATATTCATGATAGTAGATTGTTTTATCAAAATGACAAATCTTTTACTATGCACAAAATCTATCATATGTAAAAAAACTGCTAAGTTTTTTCTTGACAATATCTATCAATATCATGGATTGTCAAAAGATATTATATCAATTAGGAGGATTCAATTTGTATTAAGATTTTAGAGAAATCTTTTTAAGATTTTAAAAGTAGACATAAAACTTTCTTCAATTATTCATCCTCAAATTGATGGACAGATAAAGCATGTCAACCAAGTTTTGGAGCAATATTTAAGATATACCATCAATTATCAACAAGACAATTGGAGAATCCTCTTGCCATTGACAAAGTTTGCTTATAATAATATAATATATTCTTCTATGCAACAAACACCTTTCTTTATTAATTATGGTTATTATCCACAACTTGATATTTTTGACTTTTCAAAAGTTGATAATCCTATGGCAAAAGGTTTGACAAATTGTTTGTCACTGCTACATGCAACAATGAAGGTGTAATTAAAAGAAGCTCAAGAACGACAAAAGATCAATGCAGATGCCTATCGAAAGAAACAACGACAATTCAATATAGGTGACAAGGTATGGTTACTTCATTGTAATATCAAGACTACTCATTCTTGTGATAAGTTGGACTATTGTAAGCTTGGATCTTTTTCTATTTGTCGAGAAATCAATCAAGTCACTTATCAATTACATCTATTAGAGTTAATGAAGATCCATCTTGTCTTCCACGTGTCTCTTCTTAAATCATACAAGACTATGAATATACTAAGAAGAAGACAAGCTCTACCTCCTCGTATGGAAGTAGATAATAATGAAGAGTTTGAAGTGGAAGAAATTCTAGACTCAAGAGGGTGCCGAAATAAATTAGAATATTTTGTTCATTGGCATGAATATGATATAAGTGAATGTACATGGGAGCCAATAAAGAATCTTACAGATGCAACATAGGTGGTAGAGGCTTTTTATCGACAACATCCATCATAACCAAGATGAAGAATAGAAAGTCTTTGCTATAAAAGAAATAAGGTCTAGGAAAGATTACATTCTACCTTCTATCTTTGTTGTGGTTCTTATATATTTATGACATTAAAGAAATGAAGAAGCAAGAAGTAGTGGATTTGATTCAAAAGCCTTTGTTTACTGACTTGCCGAATGAGACCTTGCAATTATGACCACCTTGAAGATGATGTAATCAAAATGAAGATCCTCAAGAATGACATGTTCTTCCTCAAATATATGGCAAAATACAAGACATTTGATATCATGATCTCAAAAAGGACTCCCGATGTTTGATGATTTTATTGGAGGTAGGAACAACTCTTAATGGTGTTCTAAATGTTTTATTTGAAAGAAGTTATAAAGGCCTCAATAATGATCAAATAATTCGATAGTCTTCTTGTCCTAATCTCGAACATTATCGATGGTTGAGAGGCCATATCAACCATCTCTGAAGAGAACAAAGCTTAGACTATGTGGCAAATAGAATTCGTTACATCTTGGAATTCCTCAACATATAATGACTACTCTTCGTAGAACTTGTTCCTTGAAAAGGAGGTAATATCATGGAGATATACATATAAACCAATAATTATTTATATGATTAGATAAAAGTAAGTAAAAGTAGGTTAATTCCATAATATCTTCTATAGAAGCTTTCTAAAAGCTTCATAGACGCTACTTTGACTCCATAGGTGTCTGTAATTGGTTTTTAGGTTAAAAACATGGTCAACAAGTTGGCCATGTATCACACATATTAATAGCTTGAAGAACAAGTTAAATATGTGGCCCACAGATAGAAAACTTGTCTTGTAAGCTAAGCAATGGTCCTGCAAAGTCAACACATATTAGAGGTCCTATACAACATTGCCATATAGCTCGTAGTTAGATAATATATATAGAGGCAAGAATGAAGCCTTCTTCACTCTTCTTAATTTCTTTCTTGCTTCTAGTCTAGATTTAAGAGTCTTTAGTTTTTTTTGTCTTTTGGCAATAGCCATTGTAGTTTCTTTTTAATATACATACTACTTTATTACTATTTTATCACTTTTCTTTTAACACAAAATTTCCAAGTTTATGCATCCTCTTCTATTCATATCCTTGACAAAAGGTTACATGTTAATATTTATTTATTTATTTATTTATTTAGTTGTTTATGTAATTTTATATCTTAAAATATCTTAAAGTACAAAATAAGTTTGTTCTATCATCCATGCTTATTATTAGAAACTTCTCTATTTCTCATTATTATTTCACCATGATTTTGATGGATTAAAAAAAGACATTTAATTTTGTTCCATATGTACAGACCTTCATCCATTTTTCAAAAGTATCTAGAATAATATTCTCTCATGTCATAAAAATCTTAAATATTTTTTTATTTTTTTATTTTTTATCATTGATTTATTATTAATTATTGATTTATTATTTTTTATGTTAAAGTCATTGTCATGTCTTGTATTGTTCATGTCAGTTTTATTTATTTATTTATTTATTTATTTTCATAACCATTCTAAGAAACTAACTATTTTAACCATCGCAATGTGTCTCTCTTATATTGAGATAACCCATGTCAGTGCCACAAAAACTACAATGATGCAGAATTTCATCGACAAAGAATCATTCATTCACTACACATACATGCATTCATCCACTCTTCACATATTCATTCATCCACAACTCTCGAACTCATTCATCTATTTGTTGGCAGCGCCGCTGTTAGACCAAGGGTGGGGAGGTGGGCACGCCGCACGCCGTCCCTCGCTCCTCCGCCATTGCCACCTTCACGGGGGACGGCTGTAGCTGCATCGCAATCGCCGCAGCAGGATCCCTATTTTAATCCGCACCTCCATTCGTTACAGACTGCTCCGACATGTAGCAGCGTGTGTCTCAACCAACGGCTGCTGTTTCTCCGGCACCATCCTCGCCCTCATTGCACTTCCACTCGCCGTTTCTCTCTGCAGTATTGCTGCCGTTTTATTGCGGAGATCTGCGTGTGTTTGGACGAGGTGGGTTGTTAGGAGGTTTTGGGGTTTGTGAGTGAGGTGTGTCTGTGTGTGTTTATTTTTTTCGTGGAAGGGTCGCGTTTTGGTGGGATTGGAAACGATGGCGGCAGTGAGCCGCCTGCGGTGGACGATGAAGACGTTGAAGGCTGGGTTGCAGCAGCAGCCTAGGAGTATCACCTGGACGCGTTCTATGGGGCACGCGGCGCAACTCTCCATCGATGAGGAGGAGTGGCGCCAGCCTAACCTGCCCCTAGAGGGACTTCACTCGCGGGAGAAGGATCGCGGCGTGCAATGGGTTTTTCTAGGCTGTCCTGGTGTAGGTAAAGGAACGTATGCTAGTCGCTTGGCTAAGTTGCTGGATGTGCCTCACATTGCTATGGGTGATCTCGTTCGACACGAGATCATGCAGAAATCGGCCATGGCAGAGCAGGTTTGATTTCCTCCACCTGCTTTTGACTATTGCAGTTTGGTTTGGACGGTCAATGATTTAAGCCGATGATATGTTAGCCTTTGTTTTTTTTGTTTTGTTTTGTTTTGTTTTGTTTTTTTTTTTCCGTTGATTTTTGGCCTCATATCCATGTATTTCGTTTATAGCATCGTTACAATCATTAGAACATTAAGGTTAGATCGCTAGAATGCAGTGACTATGTGGACGGTTTTTGAGTCGTCATGTATCTTCTCTGAGGGTGCTTACCCCTGCGAACAGGAATTCACGGGTTACTACGATACAAGTGCCCGTTTTATTTCGTGTAACTTTTTAAGGATTGTTCTAACTTTGGTGTCACGTGGTGCTTGCAGTTGCAAAAAATAATGGGTGCAGGAAAACTCCTCCCTGATGAAGTAATTTTCAACCTCCTAACGAGGCGTCTTGAAAATGGAGTCTCTCGAGGGGAGTCAGGCTTCATCCTGGATGGATTTCCGCGGACAGTGAACCAGGCTGTGAGTATTGTGTCTAAAAGTTTTCTTGCTGTTCAGTCAGGTTGTTCATAGCGATAAGGATAGCATGCATTAACTAGGGTATCAATGCGATTAGTGATGCACTTTCGTATAGTGTATAATTCACTGAATCAAGATTATTTACGTAGTATAAAGACGTGATTCTTGTATTTTGGAAGATTTGCGCTCATGTCTGATTGGATGTCTGCATTAGGTTTGTAATGGCACCTATTTTGTGTCGACTTCTGAACGGAGACCAATCATGTTTGTGTATAGGAGATCATGAATGAAGTTGCAGATATAGATTTGGTTGTGAACTTGAAGTTACGTGAAGACGTTTTGGTGACCAAATGTTTGGGACGGCGCATATGTAGCCAATGTGGGGGTAACTTCAATGTTGCGTCTATCGACGTTGATGGCTATGGCAATGTTCCTCGTATCTACATGGCACCCCTGTTGCCGCCTCCTTCTTGTTCATCTAAGATGATCATTCGGGCTGATGATACTGAGGAAGTTGTGCGGGCTAGGCTGCGTGTCTACTACGAAGAGGTAATTATGTCACTCAACATCCCGTCTCGTGCGTACCTTGCATCGTTATGCAACTATGTATTAGCTGATTTCAAACAACTCTCCTGGTTACATTACAGAATTTATGGAGTGGTTATAGTATTACGCTCTCAGTGAAACTCTTTGCTGTGCACATTAAATTTTGATATATTTTCTATGTACAAAGTTAATCGGAGTGCTGGGGTGTTATCCATATCTGCAGAGTTTTCCCGTGGAATCTTACTATCGCTCCAAGGGCATGCTGCTAGACTTCGATGTGGCTGGGGGAGTTTCAGAGACATGGCCATTGTTATTGTCTGCATTGAACCTGAACGACAAGGGTGCAATCCAAAAAAGGTGGACAATGACTGCGTGATTCACCTACATCTGAATGAGCTGGAGCTGATTTTAGAAATTGGTTACTATTAAATGGACCCTGAGTTTAATGAAGAAACTCACATCTAGATCATTTCTAGAGTGACGATTTTGTAGAGATTAAAACAACGATGCAACTTTAGTCGAAAAGTAGGAAAGTTTTGTACACTTCCTTTCAAAAACAATCTTTTATTGTCGTGAATTTCATTCTTCATGTGAAAGATAAGTTTCTCACAATTGAGCCAATATTCGTGGTATGAAGGAACGCTTTCGCTGATTGATTTTCTCTCTCAACATTGGAGTCAGACGAATGAAATGTGCGTAGTGGTGCGGGTGGCGTAGAACAATCAATGAGCCGGATGGCACTCCCAACAATAATACCAGATATGAAATTTAGCATTTAGCATGGTGAAACAGAACACATCGCGGCAGTTGTTGTCTCTGATGTCCAATCTAGATTGAACCTTGGTGGAACTCGTAATTACGACTCTAAATTTGGGTATAGACATCAACTGCATTCCGTAGTGAAACATTGATCTTGATTATAACCAGCTTGGTTCAATGTCGATCAAAATGGGCTAATTGTTAGGCGAATCTTAATTAGGTCTCTCATCTATTCGAAGCATCCGTTACTGCTAATCAAGGTATGTTTCGTGCCTGAAAACTTTGCAAACTACTTAATATTGGTCGATTAGGTGTTGAGGGAAGAAATCAAGAATGTTGATTGAAGATCATGGCAAATCATGTGGTAGTGTTCTGCCTCATGTTGCTTTCAATATAAGCAAGAGATAATCATTCTCTTATTTTTATTTTTTAATTGCCTTTGATGGCAATCTTTAGACTCATTCAAATTGTAGAAGTATTTCATCATCTTTCTTTTAAAAAACGAATATATTTATATATATAAAAATAAATATTCATGTTATTTTTTTAATTTGATTTAAGAAAAAAAAAAATCTAATCATTTCTATTATTAAATACCAATATGGCTTGTGTATCCCTGGTACACCCAGCTATTGTCAAAGAAAATTCTGATTTCATTATTTAAAACAAAAAAAAATCATTACATTGAGTTAATAATTTTAAATTGATTAAATTAATCATTTGTTCAATATATAATGTGAGAGAAATAAATATGTTATTTTATTCTAATTTATGATAAAGATGGTTGTTTGATTATATATATAAGAAATTATTAAAGTGATCCAATCATTTACTAAATCAACTAATCCATCATCATTAGTTGAGGATCCAACAATTTTTTCATTGATTTTTGACCAATACAGATCTAATAGTGGAGAATTTTTTGATGATGGTTAAGATAGGTAGGTTAATTTAATAAATATTTAGGTCACTTTAAAAATTTCATATATATATATATATATATATATATTTATTATAGGAACTATTTTAGTATTTAGGATGACTTCTTATGTTATAATCTATTACTTGTATAAATTAGCTTTGCCATCATAGATACACAATGTTTGTACCAATAATCACATACAAAATAAATTGTATAGTATAATTAGCCTTACTTTTATAGAGAAATAAATAGACAAGATTCTATTATACATATAGATGCATCAATATATAATATTTATTATAATTAAGAATATTAAAATTAACTATTATTTTATAAGACTTTTCAATATAATTAGAGTCTTTAATCCAATGATTTTTAAAACAAAATATTTGACAAAAAATTGATTTGGGAGTTTTTGAAAATAATAACATATTATGATATATTTATATATTTTATTTAGATGTCATGGATATACATATGTATTCTAATAAATACCTATATGATTAAATAGAAATAAGTAAAAGTAGATAAAAATAAGTTAATTTCATCATACCTTCTAAAAAAGCTTCTTAGAAGCTTCATAGATGCTGCTTTGACTGTACATGTGTTTGTAGTTGATTGGTAGGTTAGAAACTTCATCAACAATTTAACCACTTATTGGTAACTTGCAGAACAAGCTAACTATGTGGCGTACATATAGAAAACTTGCCTTGTAAGCTAAGATATGTATCTTGCAAAGTCAACACATTTTGGAGGTTCAATAAGACATCGCCATATAACTCTTAATTAAGAATATATATGGAGGCAAGAGTGAAGCCTTCTTCACTCTTATCAATGCCTTTCTTGTGCTTAGTCTTGTTTTCAAGACTTTTTAGTCTTCTTATTTTTGGCAATAGCCATTCTATTTCAATATTATATCATCTTTGAGTGATACTTTAATTCTTTTCAGTAATATAAGAGTGTATTTGTGAATTTCTTTCTTCAAGATTCATGTCCTTGACAGTTTGACAATAGTGAAGAACTTTTGTATCTATCTTGTTTTAAAAGTGAGTAGATAATTTCACTTCTATTGTTGTAATTTGAAGGTTGCAAACTATTCATCTTTAAACAAATAATCTTGTTTTTTTAATACTGATCTTTTCTTAAAAGAAAGTAGATTATCTTTCTTTGTAGAAATTTTATTTGATATTAGAGGTTGTGGATTATCCTCTTCTAATTTAATTTTTGAATTTATTTGAGTTGTGTATAGAAGAAAAGATTACGGATGCTACTTTCAATGGAAGTGAGAATAGATTTGCAAATATTGTCCATCTTCATGAGCTTGTCAACATTCATGTATTTCTAATGTGGTTCATAGAGGTATTATTCCTATGCCTATGGAAGAAGTTCAAAGTCTGTAAGAAAAAGTTGTGCAATTGAAGAAAACAAGTAGATTGTCCTCACAACCAAATCTAAGAAGTTTGCTTCTACAAGTATGACATTTGCTTCTACAAGTATGACATGGACAAGGATTAATATGCCTGAGAAGTTTGATAGAACAAGATCAAAATTTTGAAGATTTCTACAACAAGTCAAGTTCTATTCAAGATTGCATCACTTCCAATATCAGTACGTTTTAAATTCCTCACGGAGCACAAAAAGAGTCAATGACGTCAAGAAGGTTTATGTTTATATTGTGGAGAAGCTAAACACACTATTCAATATTGTTCAAAGAAATAACGTAAGTACAAAATGAGAAGCATGGTTGCCAAAAAAGATGATGTGTTTAAAAATAAGTTTCTCCACCTATAATAGTGACAATGTGGCTAAAATCTTGCGCAACTTCTAGTAAAGTTCATATTCTCTTTTCAAACCCCTCATCTTATTTTACAATAGAAGTTTATTTAGAACCAAAAAATCACAAAGTCTTAGCTTTGCTAGATTTAAGAGCCTTATCCTGATTTATAGATGAAGATTTTGTCAAAAAATAAGAAATATTTTTTGTCATAAAAACTAAACTTATACATGTAGAAGTTATAGATAGTCGTTTGTTATCTTTTAGAGATGTTATGCATGAGACTACTCCTTTAGATGTAGCAATTAAAGATAATAATAGTATTATAATATTTAATATAATAAGATCTTTATCAAATCTAGTTATTTTAGGATTATCTTGGTTACAAAAATATAATTCCCAGATAGATTGGATTTCTTATAATTTTAAATTTTTTTGATAGTTTAATCCAAAATTTTGTTAGTCTAGTGAAAATACAGAAGTTTAGTATATTCAAACCCTTACCGATAGGTGCGAGAGCTTTCATGCATGCCACAAAAGAAGGGATATTTTTTGCTATATATACTATGCCCATTTTTGATGGTGAGAAGAATCAAGTAATATTCCTAGTCAGTATTAAGTTTTCTAGGATGTTTTTTTAAAAAAGAATATAGATATTTTTCTAGAATATTGTCATTATGATTGTTCCATCAATCTTTCAAAAGGAACTCAACTAGCATTTGGACCAATTTATAGCCTATCACAAAACAAGTTGGCCACATTCAAGAAATGCATTGATGAAAACTTGATTAAAAATTTCATTTGTCATTCTAAATCTTGAGCTAGGACTCCTCTCTTATTTGTGAAGAAAAAAGATGGATCTTTATAGATGTATGTTGACTATTTAGTACTCAATAAGATCACCATCAAGAATAGATACTTTCTACCTTTGATTTCAAAACTCTTTGATCAATTGAATCAAGTAAAGATCTATATAAAAATTGATCTACCAGAAATATATAATTTGGTATACATTAAAAAAAGAGATAAATAAAAAATTAAGTTTTAAACCAAATATGGATATTTTGAATATAATGTCATGCCTTTTGGACTCACAAATGTACTAGCTTTTTTTTAACATCTAATGAATATGTCATTTGTGAGTTTCTTAATGATATTATCATTTATTATTTAGACGATATCTTAATCTACTACAAGAATAAAAAAGAGCATGAAATTCATATTTGTTGTGTGTTACAAAAATTTAGAGATGCAAGATTATATCCCAAGTTGAAAAAGTGTATATTCCATACTATTTAAGTTGACTTTTTAGAATATATTATTTCTAAAAAAGAACTAATAATAGATTTTAAGAAGATCTAGACTATCATAAATTAGAAGATTTCAAGAACAATAAGAGATGTGCAATGCTTTTTGAGCTTTGCCAATTACTATTGGATCTTTATTAAGAAATTTTTTCAAGTTGTAGCTCCACTTACACATTTGGCTTGTAAAAACAAAGTTAAATAGAGTAAAGAAATCAAAGCATTGTTTGATGCTTTAAAAAAATAGTTTATTTGTACACCAATCGTATATCATATTAACTTCTCCAAGGTATTTTTCATAGAAGCAAATGCATCAAAAATTACCTTGGATGTAGTATTATCACAAATGGGAGTAGATAAAAAGTTCCACCTATTAGCTTTTTATGTTAAAACGTTTTTAGTAACCAAGATTAATTACAACATCCATGACAAAGAGCTCTTTGCAATCATGGATTCATTGAAGAATGGCATTATTATTTAGAAGGTGTCTCAAGTCTAGTTACTATGTATATAAATTAAAAGAATCTTGAGTATTTCATATGAGCACATGTTTTGAATCGTTGCCAAGCTTCTTAGAACATGTCTTTATTAAGATTTGATTTCACGATCACTTATCAACTCAAAAAACAAGAAGGTTTGTTGGACATCTTTTGTAGACATTCTTATCTTGTACCAAAAGAAGGAGATACATCTTTTGATCAATAAAGAATAATTTTCATGAAGCCAAATTATTTTCACCTTTAAGCAATAAAATCAACATTGACTATTGATTCAACTTTTGTCAAGCAAATTCAATCAAGTATGTCTTTTAATCCTTTTGTCTATAATATCAAGAATAATTCTTCTAAGTCTCATGATACTT